TAGCTGACCAATCAAATTTCGAATATGTTTCGATGTCCCTCGGTGTCCTCTCTCGAATGGCGAAAACCGCAGGTCTCTACAGTGTTCCTATGAAAAGTTATTTAAAAAACAGTGAAGCACTTTATATTTTGAAACGGATAATATATAGGAAGATTAGTCATAAATAATAAGGAAAAAATCAAAAAAAGACATTGTTATCCAACATGAACATAAATACGAATCATTTTTTCAATAAACCTAATTTGAATTGACAAAGATGTGTATAGAGGTGTGAGTGTGAGTGTGAGTTTGAGGTATGGTTTAGATCTAATTTCAAATTGACATCCACACCCCCGAAAGAAATCATATGTATTATATAGTCTTATTCTACGTATCGAAAATATGTTAAGTGAAAAAAACTTTCTCAAACTATAATTGTTCTCCAAGATAATCGATCGTCAGAAAAAAGATTTATATTATTTATTTCTACGTGTTGAACAGATTATTTTTCTTTTTTGTAGAATGATTCTCCTTTTTGTTGTCCTTGTTGCATTGATAATATCCATTATTTCCAGAGCAGATCTCAACACACTTTTTTTTGTATCTCAACAATCTCACAAACCTTCAAATCGATTACTTCCCAAATTTATAACTTGATTAATTGATACTTTTATATTGATCATATAGTGACTTTGACGTTTCGGTGCACGAAAGCCGATCATTGTTGATATTTGGAATATTAATTTTTATCTGAGAGACTTCGGAATGTTGGAGAATTCTCTATAATTTTCTAAGTCTTGTCAGTATATTCATTGAATATCTTTTTCCGTTGCTAAGAAACTTTGATAAAGGAATTCATCAACTGTTGTCCTCGGTTGCTATAGAAATATAATCAACAAACAAGCCATTTGCTAGACTCTATAAAGGGAAGAGGAAAATAGAAAGGCACAATACTTCAATTTAAAACTTTCATTTACTATTTTCTTTGAAAAATTTCGTGAATTCGACAAAAGTTAGAATGATATATCCTAATGAATTTTTCCATAAATAAAAAACCAACTAATTTTCTTCTTATTGATTTTCTTATTAATAAACAGTCAAATGTTTAACATGAAAAATTATTCTGATCATATTTATTATTAAAAATTTCTTATTATTTAAGTATAATATGATATATTATGGTATTGATTTCTTTTTTTAATCATTAATAACAGATCATATAAACAATCTAATGATTTTTTTTTCTTCATTAATGTTTGTCGGTATAGTAAGTAGAAACCGTCTAGAATATGATATAAGTAATATTTTTTTTGTTAGTTAAAATAGAATAAATTTGTCGATATTAAATAGTAAATATTATTATAAGTAACGTATCAATTGAAAAACAATAATAAATTTCTATTAATTGTTTTGTTACAAATGAATATATTTAAAATGATTTAGTTTCAAGCGGAAAAGAAAAAAAAAAAACGCAACGCAGGAAAGCAAAGGCGCTCATTGATGAAATAAAAAAGAATTGTTTTATGCTCTGGTGCCATGATTTTCAACACGTTCAAGTAATTCATCTGCATAACCAGGTGAATAATATCTAGAAAAATAATAAAATTAATTTAATAAAATAATAAAATAAAAACATACTTGACAACTTCTTCTGGAAAACAACTATTTATTGTATTGATATATTCAGCCAAAGGTGAACCTTCTTCAGTTTTTATTTCTTGAATCTATTAAATAAATTTAAAAAAAAAAAATTTTTTTTTTTTTTTTAATAAAATAAAAACCTTTTTAAGTCCACCACTAGTAACAAATAATCTTCGTGCTTTTGGATCATGTGGAAGTACTTTTGAAAATTGTGCAACAACATGTTTAAGAATATTTGGTGATGCTTCATGTAATAAGGGTTCTAATACAGGTAAATAAACACATTTTTGAAGAATATTTTTTAAAGCTTTTTTTGATTTTGTTTGTAAATCTTCAGATAAATCAGTACGCATATATAATTGAAGTAATTTTGGTAAAACATTTGCTACAGCTACAGCTTTAGCATGTTCTGGTGTATGACGACCTATTTGACCTAAAATAATTATTTTTATAATTATTTAATAATTATTAAATTAAAATAAATTAACAAACCAAGTGCCCAAGCTGTTGCTGCTAATATATGATCTTCTGCTTCTTCATTTAGTGCAATTGATAATTGATTAATACCCTATATTTTATTTAATTAAATTATTAATAGAAAAAATAAAAATAAAAAATTATTTTTTTTTTCTATTTTTTACCTTGGAAACAATAACAGCCATAGCTAAACTTTCAGTATGTGCAGCTGTATAACCAAGCATCATAATACCTGGTAAACGTACATTTCCACGAGTTGTTGCAACATAATCAACAACAGCAGCAACTCCACCAGCATTAACAATCATTTGTGCTAACTAAAATTGATTTTAATCAAAAAAATATTTATTAATATAGAGAAGAAAAAAAACAATGTTTTACTTCAGGTGTATGTTTAACAATTTCACGTATAAGTGTCGCACAATTTTTTTTAACATATTCATCTGAATCATTTAAACATGCAAATGCTGCTGGAAATATTTCAGCTTCAACAACCATTTCAGCTAAATCAACTGAATGTTTAGCTATTTGACTTAGAGCTGAAAATATTTGTCGCTTTTAAAATAAAAAATAAAAATAAATATTTTGAAAGAAAATAAAAATTATTTTACTTTAAGTTGAGCATCAGGATTAAGAATCATTTGAGCAAGATGTGCTATAGCTCCAGCATCAACAACTGTTTGTGCTAATTCAGGTGAATGTTTAGCTATATCAGATAGTGCTGATGCAGCAACACGTTTAAGAGCTATTTCAGGTTCTTGTAAACATAATACAAGTAATGGAACACTACCAGCATCAACTACATGTTGAGATAATTCTAAATAAAATTAGTTTAAATCAAACAGTAAATTATCAAAAAAAACAACAACAACAACAACAAAAGAAATAAAGATTATCACTATTCGTATAAATATTTCTTCTCTTCATCATTCATTTAGAAGTTACATCGATAATCTTTAATTTATATATATTTCAAGTGTAATTTTCGTTACTCTTCTTCTTCTTTGTGAATATTTTTTTTTTTCGATTGATAATCAAACTGAATTAGAATAAAATTAACCTGTAAAAACGAATGATTCCTGACAAACGATTTTCTTATACTATTTTAACGTATTAATTGTGTTAAAGTTAAATGTTTTCAAGGTCGTGCTCATCAAAATTTAGTTAGTTATTTTGTTGTTTATTTGAATATGATTTATTATAAATAAAGATGATAATTTAATTAAAATAAATTGATTAAAAAAAACAAAATATGTCTAACCTGCATTATGTCGTGCAATATATCCAAGTGCCCATGTTGCTGCTTCTTTAACTGATGGATCAAATTCTTCTAGACAGACAACAAGTGCATCGAGTGCTCCACAATCAATAACTGATTGAGCCAATTGTGGTGAATGCTTAGCGACAGCACGTAAAACAAAAGCTGCTGCTTTTTTGTAGAATCTCTATAAAAAATAAATTAATTAATTTTCTATTTATAAAATAATCTTATTTAATTGTTTATACATTTTGTTCAGCCAATGAATAAACTAATTGTGGAAGAATATCACCACGTACAACAGATTCGGCTAAATGATCAGAATAATTAGCTAAACGACCTAAAGCAAGTGCAGCTGTTTGTTGTACACTTGGTACAACATCAAGTAATAATGGACGAAGTAATGCCATAACACCTGCATTTTGAAGAGTTTCAATGTTTTGTGGTCGTGTTGCAAGATCAGCTACAGATTGAACAAATGTTAAACGAGCTTTTTGATATTGTTCAAAAACTAAATATTAAATAAATTAATTAATAGAATAAATGAACTAAAATAATAAGAAAAAAAAACCTTGCAATGTATGCCGCTGGCTCATGATGACAGTTAACAAAGCGACAAATGATGGAAAATCAACAAAACAATGATAACTACTTCTACCCGCAACAGTAACAAATAGTGTTGATGTATGTTAGTAACCAAAGAGACCATTGAAAATCTGTCTCTATGTTTGTCACCAAGCAATGTTATCAATAAATATATTATACAATTAAATATATTTATTATTTTATTTAATATAGAAATCTTTCATTTTATGTATTTCTAACAATTAAATTGTTCTTATGTCATAACACAATTAAGACGATAGAGGACGCTATTATCTTTATTGTACTTTCATAAAAAAAAAAAAAAAAAAGATATTCAATTGATCGCATTATAAAATGTGATAAGCAACAATTAATTGGGTATTAAAAAAAGTTATTTCACAAGTTTAATTTGTACTTATGCTTCGAAAAAGTTTACCTCGTAAAAATTCCAAACAATTGACTCTTCTATGAAAAGTTTCTTATTTTTATATAACAATTAATATCTGATTAATTGATTGTGAATGAAAATGGTCATTACATTTCGAACAATTTTATTTCATCTATATTAAGCCCGAAATGTTTGTATGATCTATAATGATGAATTTTGATAATATATTTTCAATAGATACAAATCTAGATCAATTAAAAATATTGAAAGAAGATTCAATTGACTTTTGGTCAATAATAAAAATTAATTTTTCATTAAAAAGTTTAGTTGTTATAGTTAATCATCAATCTTTTGTTATACTTTTCTTTTTTGAATTTATTGTAGAACTATGAGAAATATTTATAAGAACAGTGTGGATTCGTCAAAAAAAAAACGTAATTTTCTTTTTTGTACGATTGAAGAAAGATGCAATTTGATAAATAATATATTTATATTATTAAACTATTCGAAATATATTTTATCAATAATGAGACAATTATAATTGCCATTGAAAAT